GTCCCAAGTTTTACTAGTCATTTTGTTAGCGTTAAATCAAAAATCCCACCATCAATTAGAAGGGTGATGTTATTAGAGTCGAAATGACCTAATGCATTTTCATGCATGGAAAGGAACAAAGGTAGACATATATTTTAGCATATTCATCGTAACCACAGCCGTTCACATCAAAGAATAATCCGATGCTTCAATCCATTGGTTGGAACTTTGGGAAGAAACAGACACATAAGTACTATATATCTCAAACTTGATTTGGCTTTCATTATTAATTCAAACAAAGCATGCACCAAAAACTTGAATTCTTTTTGTAACAAAGCAAATTCGTACGATTGTCTCCATTTCCAATACAGCTTCTAAAGTTTTAATCAGCTGTCACTAATTTATATTAAGGAAGGAATTGAGTTCAATTTGACTCTGCATCCCTTTAAACATACACACACACATATATATATATATATGTGTACAATACTATTTAAATGTATTGAATTTACACGTAACGAAATCTGATATCGAGATAGAGATAAAAGTCTCCTTTACAATTATTTCTCTAAATGCAAAATCGGTTTTAAGCAATTGTGTATGAATAATTTAATTATAACTCGATTCCAATTATGGTTCACCTGTATATATTATTAGGGAATGTGAATAAGGAACGAAGTAGTTCTAGAATTTGACTGTCTTTAGATGTTAAAAACATTAAATGGTAAAAAAAAAAAGAAAAAGAAAAAGAATGATGATCCAACGTGTAAACCGTTCTTCTTTGTTCTTCTTCGCCTTCCCATCCAATCCATCATCCATCACATTCAACTTTGTGCACTAATTTTTCTGTATTTCTTTATTTTATCTTTTTGGTTTGTGACTTGACTATATATGTAGTGATGAGTCTGATGACGACTTCTTTGATACATGATGACCCCACCCCCACATGCCCCCACCCAAGGACTCCTTTGTCAAGTAGGGCACACCTATTGGGGGAGTGGGTCCATGTGAGTTTTAAAAGAGGATTAAATGCAATTGAGAAAATGTAAGACAATAAAAAAAAATTGAAAGAGAAATAAATTAAAATACTACTCTCTCCGTTCCAAAATAAATATCGTTTTAACAAAATGAAAAAATTTCAAAATAAGTGTCGTTTTCGGATTTCAATGCATTTTTTGTCAAAAATTTCCAAACATACCCTCAAAAAAAATAATATTATTGGTGAATATTTATTTTAATGGGGTTAGTTGAGGATATTCTAGTAATTTAACTACTCTATTTAAGTGTTTCTTAAATTGTGTACAAACTCTAGAATGACACTTATTTTCAAATGGGGGGAGTAATATGGTGGTTTGGAATCTCTTTCCTGTTTTTCGCATTAGCTTGGTGCATTACACTTCCAGTAGGCCCGAGATAATTAGGGATAGTGTCTTACGAACAATTTATCATTAGTTTCAAGTTTGAATATGCACGTAAAAGGATTTATAAATAGAATTTTATCAAACAAACTCTATTTGTATCGAATAGAAATAGATCTGGTTCAGCAAATTTAATGTTTTCATATTATTATTTCTGTTCTAAAAAAATAATCCACGTATTGCAACGGTGGAATAGGCAAAGAAAGAAGATAACCAGCCAAGAGAGAGGAAATATGATGGAGATGTGAGATATATGTTGGATTTTTAGTGGGCAACTGAGAGGATGTGCTAATTAGCGAGTTAGCTGAGTCGAGTCCACTGGCAAAACAAAAATCGTGAATATTTTAATTCTGGAAAGAAAATGGGGGCAAGCTCAAAAGGATGAACGGAATGGAGCGTGAAACCTGAAAAAGACACCTAGCTTTATGCGCAACATATATGGCATGCCTCAATTGCATTTACAATTAACCCGATTTAGAAGCTTTGATGACTACTCATATAGTCATATCCGAATTTGCTAAAAAGTAGTTTCCAATAGATAAGGGAACGATGGTCACACTAGAAGTGTTACGATTTCCTCTTGCTATCTTATTGTATATGTTTTCAAAAACACTTCAAACATACGGATATAAGAATCAAGTCGTGTTGACATCTTATTGTATGTGCTTTCAAAAGCACTTCAAAAATACATATACAAGAATTAAGTCGTGCTCTGATAATTAGAACGTTAAACCGTTTAATCCAAACCATTTAAACTATACAATGTTGTCACTTGTTAGCGTGGGTAGTGGTGCCTAACGCCTAGAAAAGGTTTTTTAGCTTCGAAATGCATGTCTCGATGTTTAGGTACTAACTTTTTAACACCCAAAAGAGAGGGGGGGAGAAAGTGAAATCATAGAAATGATGGCCAAAAAAGCTGCGGCTCTAAACAGACACGTAGTTTTAGGATCCAATCATGTGGCACGACTTTTCATGGTCCCCCGCTAAACCTCCCCTCTTTTCTTTTAATTAATCTCCCCCTTTTGTTTCCCATAAAAATCCCTTTGTCTTTTCCTTGTTCTTTGCCTACTCAGCTACTACTACTACTGCTAATTTCAGTGGTATTTTTGGTTGGTAATTAAAGGTTACCCCCCTCGTCTTTGTGGCAAAATTTCTTTTCAATCCGGTTGCGATTGAGTGACAGAAAACTCATCTTCTCTTAATCAAGAGCGGATAATTGAATGAAACCCGCTTTAAATATTGAACGTTTATAAACTTTGGACGTATCTAATTTAGTAAATATGATCACTCATACTATACATTTTACAGATTAGACTAAAATTGAAAATCCAAGTTAGACAATAGTTTTAAAGGGAGAAAATGACCATATTATCATATCCCTGTTTTTCCTTATTAAGTTAATTTTTTCTAGGATAATCCTAACATATGGTATTTGTGTTGATCTTAGTTCTCCTTTGTTGTTCTGTCTTGCATACATGGGATGTGTGTAGTAGACTAATTAGGAAGCAATCGATCGAGATCATGTAAAAAGTAATGATAGATACGTGTGACCTAGAACCAAACCTTGCAAACTTCACTCAAATTACCCTTATATGAACTAAGGTTTTCCACATTGATAATAACTTTAACAAACACATGCTGTTGTTTATTTGACGATTAAGTTTGATTATCACACACACATATATGTACATATTTGTGTAAATTTTGATCTCTAGAATTTTAAGATTTTAGAAATAGAGTTCGATATCAAATCATCAGCCATAAATGATAAAAAAGCAATGGTCATGATATTTGATATCAATATATAAATCTATGGGCTATTTCCCTCATTGTCAATTGGTTTTGAGATGCGAGCTTAAAGTAATTATATACTTTGACATGGTATTAGAGCCAGCTCACCAAGAGTCGGACTCCAAATCTAATATGATAGAACTGGTAGGGCTGAGATGTGAGGCGGTGCCTGGGATGGAGAAAAATAAACAAGCCCAACCAAGGAATAAACGTTGGGCTTGCGGGGAGTGTTAAATATCCCACATCGGTGATATGAGAGATTTGATATTAATATAAATCTATAGACTATTCCTCTCATTGCTAATTGGTTTTGAGATGAGAGACCAAAGTAATTATATACTTTGACACATGATCCAAACATGACCTTTGTGTTTTTGATTTTTACTACTAGTAAAAGTATTGGAAAAAAAAATACTTTTTTCACGATATTCAGTTCGTTGAATTCAAGTAGTACCTGAAAAAAAAAATATTTTTCACAATATCGGTACATTTTATAAGTGCGATCTCTTGTAGGTACTACTTGAAATTAAGTTGCTTAAGCAAAAAAATTAAAGAATCTGCGAACATGATTAGGTGAGTATATATCTGATCGGAATCAGTCATTAATTATTTTTAATTGTAACATTTAATTAATTAATGTTGCTGCTTATTAATGTATCATGGTCTAGCTAGGTTGACACGCAGTTCCCGTCTCCCTTAATTAAAACGATATGGTTGGATTTTGGGGTCGTCCTGACTTAGGTGATCTTTTCCCTCTCGTCAACAGTTGTTCATAAAAACAAATTTTCATAACAATTTATTTAATTATAATTGGTTGGGTGGGAAACGTACAAGATATTACCAAGACTTGGAGAAGAGATTCCCATGTTAGTTTCAAATATGATTATTGCTCCGCAACCACCAATCAACTCTCAGCATTTACTTCGATTAATTAAAAGAAAACTTGTTAATTTGCATTGGAAAAAAAAATTTGACATTTCATCCCAAAATAAGGATTATATTTATTCTAAAATTTGTTATTTTCGACAAGGAGAGTACAATTTACTCCTCATTTTGATAGGATTGATTCCCTTTACACAAAATAAATAAATGAAACTTACTAACACAATTAAAAAGATTAATTTTGGGGAGAATATCCTAATCCATCATTTTTATTCTTTTTGTAACTCGATTTAAATGTGTTACAAAATGTGAACATCTTCAAAGAAAAAATAGAAGACTCTAATTTTACGTGTTACAAAATACATAAGTCATGATAATTTGAAGATAAAAAGTACGTACTCCAGAGTCCACACTGTATTTTGAGAACAGTAAATAAGATTAACCAAGTAGTTAAATCAACATCCAAAACGGTGAAAGTCATGCCTGAAGCAGTGCGGGTAAATACTGTATGATTTTATTGATCACCCGTCGTTGTACATACGGCAAATGTTGATAAAGATTGCAAATGAAAAGCTACGCTGTTTTTGTCAAAAAAAAAAAAAAAAAAACAAAAGGAAAAGAAAAGCTACGTTGTTGCCAGGTTTTGTATTTTTCTAATTCGTGTTAAGAATTGTAATTCGGATCATTTAGAAAAACATGTCTAAACATTATCGTAATTTACTTCAACTATCGCTAATAGTCACTATTTTCCTTCTAATCATGATCGTGATATTATCCGTCAACGGCTATGTTCTGGCCAAATCGCTAAAGTTTAGTCAGAATATAACCATTTAGTCATTGAGCAACCACGACATCACTATCCTCATTTGAAGGAAAGTTAATGGGTTAAAGGATGTTTTGGATCCAAAAATTGGATATTTATTTGAATGATAAATAGTGTGGGAAAACATACACTGATAATAAAAATGACAAGTGCAAAACCGACTAATTTAAATTTGTCCGATCCTGACTTTACCAATTGTATTGTAAAATTTTAACAAAATTACAAAAGCAACACGAATCACTAATACTCACCCACTCTTTTAGAAGCCCTCACCAAAAGAAAAATCTTTACATTTGGTCAAACTCCATCTCCCCTTCACTTCTCGACAACTACTAAAAACGGCTTTACAAAATGAAAAGAAAAAAAAGGGAGGACAAATGAAGGCCGTAAAACTTAATGCCCTTTTAAGGTAAAAAAATTCTATTTGAAATTTAGAGGGTATAAGTTGATGAGACTCATCTTTTCATGGCTCCCATGCAAAAACAAGCAAAAGAAACGCCAAATTGACCCATTGGCTGGCTTGGTGCAATTCCATTACTTTTCTATCCCATCATTGAATTACATAAACTTTCCCTAATCTTCTAATTGGATAATTGAAACTTGAAGCCCTTTTTCTAATCCATCTTCTTCCTCATCATTAATCATACCACCAAAAGCAAAGAAAATATTGAAAGCTGATCGTCAAAAATTTAACCATTACCTAATCATTCCCCCAACAAAGGCAACTTTTTTTATCTTTCTCTCTCTCTGTTTTTTTTTTTTTACCCAAACCCACACGCTTCCTTTCTCTGTCACCCCACGTGAACTCTCTTACCCCATCTGTCATCACTCATCACTCTTCTTTCTGCAATGTGTGACCCCCTTTTTTTCTGTCTCATTTTCGTTGATTTTATAGCTTTTACTCCATTTTTGTACACAATGCAAAAGATGGGAGATGATGCTGACTTGAAGAGGAGATTCGACCATTGTACATAATTACAAAGATTGATGATGATTGATGATTGATGATGATCATGATTCCACTTAGTAATGAAATTAAAATTAACCACTATACAAAACTTTTTTTCGTTCTTGCTCGCTTGCTGGTTCTTCTTCTTGGGGTAGATCAGGCATTAATTTGTTCATGTGGGGTGGTAAAAATGGCTTCTTGGGTTGGTGACATGATTTCAGAATTTCATATTCTTCCTCCTTGACTTGAATTGAAGCCCTTTTTCTCTTTTTCTTTTTTTCCCTTCAGATTATTTCGTTTTTCCTAATCACGGCTCGGTTGGTTTTTTTTTTTTGTTGATTCAATTCCACTCGTTGTACCATTGCAGAGTTGGAGGTTGATCATCAGAGAAGAAAGTACTGCATGATTCGTCACCACTGAAAAAGTTATGCTCCTCAATCTTAACAAACTGTGGTTGGTAACCTGCTTTGTGGGCTTCCCCAAGTATGACTGCTTTTGTGTCGGAGAATTGGAATCCGGCAACAGCCGTGGTGGTTGGTTGCGGCGGGGGTGGTGGCGGCGACGTTGAACCACCGTTTGAGATCATCATGAATTGATGAGGAGTTTGAAGGATTCCCAAACCAGAGGAAGAAGACATTGCAGCATTCGGGCTGTCCTCATTCAAGATTGCACTGGAATCACTGTCAGATGATCCGTCTTTGAAATCAGTGAAGAGTAAAGAGGCACCCGTTACTCCATTACTGCTGTTGAAGCTTTCAAAGTTGAGCTGATCCGTAGCATCATTATTATCATCGTCTTCACATTCAGCTAGAACAACATTCATTAATGGCGATTTTGCCTTGTCGTCCTGATCACTTTCGGTTTCGGACACAATTGCCTCGTCTTTCACTGAGGCTTTGCTTTCTGTAATGTAGTCATCACCTTGTAACTTCACTTTCAGTTCACGAATCTGCAATTGGAACCAAAAATTTATTACAACCCAGAGTACAAAAAAAATTTGACACTGAAAAAAAGCACAAAAATACCTCTTTCTGAAGGGCTTCATTGTCATGCTGAAGATTATCGAATTTGTTCTTGAGTGCATCATAATTGGCTTTCAGGACACCGTAGTCTCTCTCCAATTGCTTTGTTTTCCATCTTGCACGTCGATTTTGGAACCAAACAGCAACTTGTCTAGGCTGTAACCCAAGTTCTTGAGCAAGTTTCACTTTCCTTTCAGGCTCAAGTTTGTTCTCAACTTCGAAATTTTTCTCCAATGCCTTCACTTGTTCCACACTAAGTCTCCTTTTCTTCTCAGGGATATGGCCAGATTCTTCCACACAGCCTTCCTCATCCAAACCATCCAACATGGATTGGAATTCCGTTGGGTAAACTTGATTGGTCCCTTGATTTTGGTCATCTAAAAGTTGCCCAATTCAAAAGGAGAAAAAAAAAAAGAACCAATCAGCGAAATTGAAACTGAAAGAAAAAAAAACATATAATTCTTGCCCGTGACAAAGCAAAAAGACTGAACAAGTGAACTACTACTAGTCTACTACCATAAAACAGTGGAGTAAGACCAAGTTACCAAAAAAGGAAACTTCACAAAGCTGGGTTTCATTTTAAAGGGAATTAATTACAGAAAAGACTGGAGACAATAAAACATGGGATGCATTAGTACTAAACTACTACATCTGAATCTCTTTTGGGAAAAACAAATAAGGAAAATTCAATTCAACCATTACTAATTATAAGTAAGCACCTGTAGAAGATGGACAGATTGTCATCAAAGCGCTCAAGGAATCAGAGCTGCCCAGTGATCTCTTCATGACTTGATGATTGATGAAACAATGGGAAGCTCAACTAACAGCAAAGTTAAAGCAGTACCTAGGACTTTGTAGAGAAGTAAGTGGAAATCTAAAACAAGCAGAAGATCCAATTTTTTTTTTTTTTTCCAGATCAGTAGTCCACCTTCTTCAGCAACTTTACTAGGTCTTTTTTTTTTCACCTTTTGTTAAGTGTACAAAATTTGTTTTTGTCAGTGGTTACAAGAGCAAGTTTTTTTTTTTTTTCCCTTTTGATCTCACTCACTCAATTAACTCACTCACTCACTACTTGCAAGAAGGCAGGGAACCAAAATAAGCATCTTCATCACAGTAAGAAGCCCAGTTTGCACAGTTTTGTATGCAGAAAAATGACTGAACATACAAGTTAGAATTAGCTTTCTTGGATACTCCATCTTTCTCCTTTATTAAAACAACTTCCTCTACATCTGAACCCATTAAAAAGGAAGTAAAAATAATATAAAGTGAGTAATCAAATCCCCAAGAAAAGAAACAATGAGTAGTAGTACCAAAGTTAGGCTAACCCACCACTATCTGAAGCCTAATAAACCAAACAACAACACACTTCAGTGGAGAAGTAATCATTTCAAATTTCAAAGCCACACACTTTCTTTCTTCCCCCTCTGTTTCTTTCTTTCTTTCCCTTCTTTTTCTTCTCTACATAATTATTCAATCACTTCAAGAACTCTACACTCTAATTTGGTCTAGGACTGTTCATCTACAACAAGAAAAAGTGAGGAAAATGGGAAAGACAAATCAGAAAAAAAAGAAGCTTTTGGGAGTGGGGAAAAAATGGAGAGAGAGAAGAGGAGAAGATCAGAAAGAAATAAAAACCAGTTCACAGCGCAGCTGGGCTAACACCAATATGAGTCTTTAAATAAATAAACCAAAAACTGGGGTCTGGTCAAGAAAGCTATACAAAGTTGTCTTAACAAGGGTTAAAAATCTGACTGGGGTTAGGTACGTTTACATTGTGTTTGCAATTGTAGGCTAAATGCGAAATGAAATGCATCCCAAATTCATCCCAAATTCAAATTTTGTTCTTACCGGGTACCTGGTCGGTAATTTGGAGATATTTTTGAAGTTCGAGGGGTTTAATGTTAAATAGTGTATAAGTTACCGCGGATTTTTGTGATAAGCGGGAAAAGGAAAATTATGGCTTATGTATGGCTCGGCTTTTGGCTTCTGAGCCGGTGGAAGGGGATACGGCTGGCGTCAGCGTACCTCGTTAAGTGAAGTTCAGTTTAGTGAGGAGCGCGTGGTCGGTGCGAGTAATCGTGATATGCCAATTTATGACTGATATTGCCAACTGATCCAAATTTCTTTTCATTTTACGACCGGGGCAATTGACGCTTTGGTCGTTCAAAATGTAGTCCCAAAAAATCCATACTTTCTGCCTGTCCCATAAAAAATAATATATTTTGTTGCATTATTTCAGTATTTTGATTCAATAAATAAATGTACTATGTTTAGTGTAAACTTTTTGTTCAAAATTTTACTAATTAAATATTTCTGAAAAATGAGCTACTTTGTTAAATTAAACCAATACAAGAAAGTGAAATATTTTTGTAAAATGAAAAGATTAAGAAATTAGACTACTAGACCGAAACATTTTATCCAACATTTTACTAATTTATTACTTCTGAAAAATAATTCATTTTGTTAAACTAAAACGATATAATAAAGTGGACTACTCTCTTTATCTTGGAATGATTGTTCAATTTGAGTCTTTATTTTTAGTACAAATTATATTAAAAGTGATCCAAACAGGATAATCATTTTGCAACATAGATTATTTTTCCGGGCCAATAAAAAGACAAAAAGAAAATAAATAGCTTATTAGTACCAAAATTTTGTACTTCCTCTGTCCCGAAATTATTGTCCAGTTTGGTTTTTCATTTTTAGTTTAAATTGTATTAAAATTGAAAATGTAAACTAAATAATAATTTTGGAACAGAGTAAGTACTTCTTATTATTAGATTATCTTAGTTCATTAGATTGCAATCCTATAGATTCCAAATATATTTTTTAAAAAAAAGATATATGCGATTTATCAAAAGAATTTTCATTTTTTGTTCTTGTTTTCTTTTTTCCCTGCAAATTAAAACGATACCTAGGACTTGTTTGGCTAACCATTCATTTTGCATTTTGTCTCATTTAATCTCTTAAAATATATCTCAAATACAAAACTCAATACTATCCAAACAATTTTTTTAATTTACTTTTTAAAATATATTTCAAACATTATTTTTTTTTACCATTTTTTTTACACCACCACCGGACTACCTCCGCCGTCACTGTCCGCCGCCGGACCGCCCATCACCGCCGCCGGACAGCCGCCAGCTGGTGACCGGTCGGAGGTGACAATGGGCGGTCCGGCGATGGCGCCGGTGGTGGAGGTGGTCCGATGGTGGTTTAAAAATATTATTATTTTATTTAAAATATTATCCAAATAATTTTTTAAATTTTCTCTCAAACCACATTTTAAATCAAATTTCAAACTCAAATCAAAAACTAAAAAAAAATGTTGGCCAAACAAGCACATATTGTCCCTTCGTTGATTTCAAAGAGTCCGTCCCTCCGATCTCGACTAAGCAAATCCCAAGCATCCCGAACTATTCCATTGAATCCCAACCTCCAAGTGGTTTTGAAGCGAAATTGCAAAGAATTCTACCATCGTATTCCTCTTCTTCCTCATCTTTTTACCGCATGTATCACACAATTTGATACTTCCTCCGTCCTATAATTATTGTCCACTTTGCTCAAAAAATTTTGTTCCAAAATTATTGTCTAATTTGACTTTTTATGGATCAAGTTACTCATTTGTCCTTAGTAAAAAACATTATCTATAAAATTTTAGTGGTTAAATAATTACTTATGTAGGGGTATATCCTGTTGTTAAAGGTAAAATATAGTTAAATTTGACCAAAAATAAAATCTTTTATTTTAGTAAAACTGGACAATAATTATGGGACGGAGGGAGTACATTATTATGCCAATATAAGGGCAGTTGAACAGGTAAAATTAATTGTTCGGTCAGTGCTTTTTTTTTTTTTAGTTTCTTCCATCCAATGTGCGCGGGTTAATTTGTGAACAGTTTTACGCGTAAAATGTTTTCCCTAGAGGAAGCCCATAGAAGTCGATCGATTCCAATTGTTGTCAATCACATTTCTTCGCATTTTTTTTCTTCGAAATACTACTATGCCAAACACATCAAACCACGACGAATAATATTTTCAGCAAGATTATTGCATGCATAAAATGACACGATCGATTATTGATGTGATATAACTTATGATACGATTAAAAGTATATTCCTTCTTTAGATAATTTTATTAAAAGTGTCAATCATCATTCGAAAAATTAGGTTACCAACTAGCTAGCTTGGTGACAAGATTCTTCTTCGAGCTGATCATATATAAAGTCTGTTCACGGGCTCAATACCTTTTGTTTTCTCACTTACAATTCAGATTAGTGACCGTAACGGATGATAAATATAATAGTATATGAAAATTAAAAAAAACTACTCCTAAATCTTACTTATAAACTTCACATAAAACCATCAGAAAATGAAATATTTTAAAAATTAATTCAAACAGCAACTTTGGTGGGTTGAATAGTGGCAGTGGTATCAAATCGAGCAGCAGCAATTAACATCACTATGTATTCCAGTGTTGGACTGGATTTCTTTTTAATCTTAGAAAACAGCATCTTGTTGGTGTTTTTTCTCGCTATTGCATTCAGAGGACAGTAACAAATGTGAGATTTTTTTGGTCTCCGAATATACCCTTTCTTTGATCCTGTTTCTATGCTCATAGGAGCTCTCAAAACAAAATCTCTCGATCAAACCAAAACTTCACTATAATAATATCGTTAGCAGTAAATTGTTTTTCCCCAACTGCCACACCCGTGATATTCTTCACAAAATCAGAAATTGCAGATACAATAATTAATTAATGCATTTTCGCCTCCTTCCTAGAAAAATTTTGTGTAACGTAATATATTTTAAAATAATAGTATAAATTTCAAAACTCAATTTAGACTATAATATTTTTTTTAAGATAGAGAGAATAGTAATTAATTTTGGGACCATATATAGAGTGTTATTAATTATTACAAGAACAAAAACAAAATGTCCTCCCCTATTGATCAGCATCCTGAAAAGAATCCGGGGCACCGAAAACCACAAAGATTTCTGGAACGTGTACCATCAAATTCAGTGCCGGAATTAATTGCCCTCAAAATTAAAACAAAGCAATAACGACGGAAAGAGAGAAAGAGGAAAAGAAAAAAAAAAAAAAAAAGGGTCCATCGACCATGTTGTTAAGACATAAAAACAGGCTGGTGATCATCAGCTAGTTCCGTATAGTTCGTGTCCGTGTGCGGCATAGAAAAATTTCCGAATTTCTGTCAATAAAGCAAAAAAAAAAAAAAAAAAGGTTAGAAAGGTGTGACAATACACAAAGGGATCGCACCATGCAAACTTCTTTTTCTCGATTCAACTGTTTCTTGAAAAAGAAATCGTACATCCCCATGGATTTGCCCATTTCTAACCTGTGACTACTAGTTGCATGGTAAAAATGATCATGGTTATTTTTGCAACTAGGCTAGCAGTAAAAAAAAAAAATGGTGATGATGGTAGCGGCAACAGCTAAAGAGATTACGGGTTCAGTAATAAATCATGTCTATTTTTTTCGATAAAATTTTGGATTCCAACTTCTTGTAACTCTACAAATTAGGGTTAATTCTCCCGCAGCCTATTAGACATATGGAATTAAGACTTGTTGAAACCAATCCACGTTATCTATCTTCAATATTTCACACCGATTCTGTCACTCCGAACTTGCATGAGTTGTTTTTACTCTTGCCTAAACTCATCAATGTCTCCATGGACATATCAAAGGGCCTTTTTTTGGGGGGATTTTTTGATGAATGGCGCACACGAAAGTAACAATGTGCTGATTTATGAGCATGGGTTCATAACTACGTGAGACAATGAAATAATCTACATTCAGTTTTGGTCAAAAATCCGTGTGCTATGTATTCAACTACATTCTGAGTCGATTTCATTGTCATTGCATGTATGAAATCCTTTAATTTCCTTTTTTTTTTTTGTAACAATTTCTGTGGGATTATGCCAATGTATTGGCTAGATTTTAATGATCAGTGAGGCAGTGACTACCCATCTTTATTTTATTTATGGTGGATAGATTTTATGAGAGGAAAAAAAAAAAAAAAAAGACAAGGAAGCATGGTGTGGTGATATTTTTGACTCAGTCCCATTGGCTGTTTACCTTAAAAGAAAATGTTCTTTAGGCACGTTGTGGAATTTGGTCCCAAACGCACGAGATAAAAGTGTACAAAACGTAATGCTTTCTTTTGTTTTTGGATTATTTTCTTGAAGGACATGACTTAATTAATTGATTTAATTAACTTGATGATTGTTCTTGGATCTAGCTGAATGTTAATCAAGTTGATTCAGATTGAAGAAGTGACATGTTCCAGCGCTAATCAAGTCAACCAAAGCCACAAGTCAAAACTGTAGATTGAATGAACAAATACTTTATAGGACCAGCAATAATCAAGTTTATTAGCAGTAGTTCTCTAATAATGCAAGACGAATATACTGAAAAGGAATTGTTAAACATAAAACCTAAGAGATGATCACAAAGAAAAAGAAAGAGATATGAGTATGTGCAAATGATATGTGCATAGAGACGATTTATATACACCCATAACATTTTGAGCTCATATCACCAGATAGCCATAACTGCTGGATGATTTGGCCATACAAAATTAAAACTATTCAGTAGAGAAGAAGAAGGTAAAAATTTGAGTGAATTAAAGATTCTGGGAATAGGGTATGGGTGGACTATACTGTGTATTTTCTGGCGAGTGATCCAAGTTATGGGAACATAGTAATTGATGTCTCTGACTCCATAAATCAAAAAAGCTAGGGAG